CCCCAAAACCCCAAAACCCCACCTTACTAGAAATATAAATTGAAATTTTAATAATATTTTAAAAATAATCGTGTTTTAAAATGGATCTATTTGTGAAATCCCGAGGGCCACTTGGATTGGCGCATTTCTGTCAATCTTGGGGTCCCAAATTCAGCAACTTCGACCTATTCTTCGACACCTTTTCAAACTGCTTGATATTCTACAAGGAGGGCTACTTCGTAATATGGGATTAGTACGACTCCTTGAACAACCAAGGCAAGCAGCCCTTCACTCTGAATCTAGCCTCAATTTAGTAAGTCATTATTCTGATGCATGTAAATTACTCTTATCTGTAGCAAACAAGTATTCGCCTGCTGTATTCATCCAGAAAAGAACTGTTTGTCACTGCAGATATCTGAGAATACCCTCATACTTTTGTTTCTAAAGGAAAGAGCTGCTGAAGAGATTAAGTTGACGTTCTCGAAGGCAAAAATGATTCATGCTTTTTCTTTTCTATTTGGAGATGACTTTAACTACTTTGTGGCTACTAACAACTCAATTGACCTCTATAAAATCAAGAGTGATAAGCAGAAAGCAAAGATAGTTAAGAGTATCTCACTACAAATCAATGAGCCTTAATTCTATTATGAGCCCATGGCAAATGTAGTTCTAATCTGTGATAACAAAGGATAATGCCACCCTTTTTTCCTTAACATGTACAAGTAGAAGACTCACAGAGGTAAACCATTTTAGCTCGACACAGGATCGATACCAGTTGACTAGCCTAGCTAGCTCGATTATTCTTAGCAGCAACCGCTCTCTATCTCTACTCATGCCTCATACACTAGTGCGTCTGCAGCTGGCTTACCTCACTCCTCCTAACACTAACGCTCCAGCAACAACACTTCTCAAGCATCCTCGCACTCTTAGGCTCACCTAACTACTGCCAGAGCAAGTTTCAAGGACAGAGCAATTAACTTCTTGACTGCAGGGCTTCTAAACAGATTTAATTTAGCCCCCAGCATCAACAACAAAAACCTCAAACCTATAATCCAAGCTTAGAGTTAGCTTCACAGCAATAATGTGCTAGATACAACTATTGATAGCAACAATCAAAACTTCGTTAAGTCATTGAGTCAGGAATCTAAAAAATCTTAGCATCAGTTGTTAATTACTCAGATATACAACAAGATAATGCTTTTGCATTTGAATCCAAGCACATTCTAACTGCACATCTTTGAGTTAGACCCAGGCTTTAACTACAAATATCAAAGTCTGATCAATTTGACTCCTGGGTGTCTCTATCAGATGCAAGTTATTGATAGTCTGCTTGTCATTCACAACATCGATGATAAGTCTTCACAGATGTATGACTTGAAGCTCCAAGACTATCAGATTCCCTTGCTTGAAAGCAATCTAGATGTGAATTTCAAACTTGCTTAAAAAGGGATATACGTTACAGATATGATATATGCTGAGGAGCGATAGTAATTTGAGGAGTAGGTGAGGCCTTTCAGCCGAGATTCTGCTGATGGTGGGAGTATGGGAGAGTTAGGAGGAATACTGTAAGCCAAAGAATTTATTACATTTCAACTCTAATTCTAATATACTAGTGATGAGGAGACTCCAGTGAAGGTAGTGCTTGATATACCAGTGGATGAATCACAAAAGAGTGTGAGTATTGATGATGAGTCCCGCTCTGGCAGTCGAGATGAACAAAGCAAGGATAATGATGAAAATCTAAAGGAATATGACATCTATGAGGAGGGAAACATTTTTGTCGATCCTTTATTCATAATCAGTCCAAAGAATTTCAGCTGCTTAACACTTAAGACATAACTATCTAGATTCATTAGACAAATACCTGATAGCTGTCGTTGTATACTTTCCCTGCTAAACAGAATGAGGAACAAGAAGGTGTTCTTAACTCATTTCAGAGACTTGATGATAACTTAGAAGCTGAGTTTGATTGAGATTTCAAAGGTCTTCTTGAGAATTAATAGTGTTTACAAATAAGCTTCAATTGAGAGACAGTCAATAAAAAAGAAGGCCTCAACTGGCAATAACTCCAAACTTATTCTTGATAACCCTCTAATGCAAGGTCATAACACTGATTTGCTTTTCATTCAATAACAAAGACTTGGAAGGTTAAGACCTAATACTTCATCTAGCATGAACTCAAACATAAATAACATATTGTTAGAGAATGCTCCTACAAATAGGGTATTAAGTGGAGAAGTGATAGTGTTTCAAAATGAATTGCTTGAGATTTTCAAGGAACTTATAAACAACTCAACACACCCTATACTACTACCAGATTAGTAAATCATTAACAGGCCTAAGTCAGATAAGATAATCCTCAAGCCTAAATATATTACAGCAATAATTATGGAATTCCTAAGAACTCTTCTAGAGAACTCTATCCCTTAACAGCCTGCTTAGCAATACTTACTAGTTAAATACATCCTAGCTACAAAAGATTTCTAAAGCTTACACTGTCTTTTACAATATCATGTCCTTGCAGACTCTTTAGAATTAGCCAGAATGCTAATATAGATTGGGACAAAGTAAACTTTAAATGAGCACAGTGAACCGAAAAGTGGAGTCACTCTTCATTATGAGCCTGCTTTCTAGCTCGGATTAGATATGCTCAAGAAAATTAAGAGACACGAAGATTTAGCAATGGCTTTATTAGGCGAGGGACAAATTTAGAGAGCTCTAGATGTTATTTAGGAAAATTAGGATTTTATTTCTAACAGTCTTAGTTTCTCAGCTTTCAGAGATTAGATTGACAAACTTAGATTTAATGGGTAAATGGTCAAAGCTGATCTCGTGCTTAGAAGATTAATTGAAATGAAGAAGCAAGATGAAAATAAAGCAAAGAATGAGAGAGGATATAGGAAGATATTTGATTGAAAGTATACATCATTTAGATTTGAGGAAAATAACTATAGTTGATATTAATGCTTTTGATAATTTGTTGAAATTAATGTTTCATTATCGAATTCAATTCAAAATAATGAGATGAGGGGTTTTGGGGTTTTGGGGTTTTGGGG